TAGGTTGGCTTTGAATACAATCTACCAACCATTTTCCCGGTCCTCCCCTCACCCTCTCCTATCTCACACACTAGACCAAGTGTAAGGTGTGTAATCAGAAGAAGTAAGAAGGAGCACTAGGTTGAAGAGCACAGGTATGTATATAGTGCATGGGAGAGAGTGGAGCTGGTGTATAAGAGTGTGAGAGGTGGGGAGCAGTATAACACTGATTCTCAGTAAAAAATTTTCCAAGCCAGCAGCCTGTCTTCCATAGAGAATGCACGGCAGAAATAAAGCCTTTGCTTGAGGCAAAGCCAAACAAGTATCAGTAGGTGGTTAGATCTTACTCAATACTGATGAGCCGGCCTATTCTGGTGAACTCCTAATATCTACAGCATGGAATTACTAGACGATCTGTGCCACTCGGTACACGATGGTAATGTATTGAGCTTACTGTACTCCTTTTTAATACCCCTACAACCTTCTGTAAGATTTGAAGTGAATCCTCCAAATATTGAGCCACTAAACTCAGCGATAAACTTGGACGTGCAGCGTCAGGTGGCAGAAATCTACTTCTTTGCTTATGTTTTCGACAGTTCCTGATTCCCCCTTCATCACCTTATTATCATCCTGCTTTGTTATAGCAGGATAAAGGTTCAGGCTTGCTTTCTACGCTTTACTACTGCACACACTTAAACACACCCTGCAGATGTTAGGAAAGGAGCCCTTGCACTAGTCTACTGCAGCCTGACCCCACTCTCACAGGATAGCGATACTGCTGCGTTCTGAGACATTTAGAAGACATCACTTCGAAAGAAAGCAGCCACGTGTGTGCGTACTAGATGAGGCTACACCGCTTGAACTAGTAATGTGACAAGAATGCCTATTCCAGTAAGAGCGGTTGTGCCTGTGGCAAAGTTCCTGCATTCCACACATAGGCTAACTCCTCTCTTAAAGGCTCGCGTGTAAGCTGCCCTATATTTTAGTGCATAGCTAGTTTGAACTGACCAATCAGATTTGTCGGTTCCTCATTTCTCATAGTAAACCTCGTACGCTAGCAAAACTAACATGAAAACATGAGAGTTTTGTCATATAAAAACCTTGTTTTTCATGTACAATTTTTACATGAAAACGACAGCATCACGAACAAAGTCTACAGAAACTTGTAGCTTTAGCTTCCACAATAGACCGCAGACACGCACAATCGATCAATCAGATTGCAGAATTGTGGGTGTTTTTTTTTTTTTTCACATACACCTCGTTTCAAGCGTCTGTCTATTGGTGTTTGCAGGTCGTCAACAGCAAATTGCCCATACAAATCTGCGTATATAAACCGACCGCTTCCGCGTGCGGTTAGAGTAGAAGGCGGGGCTGGTATATATATATATACCACTTGCAGTAGGCGTGGCTCCACATACATCGCGCGGTAGCTGCTGTGAGAAGTCAGTCGACAGACTCCAGAGCTCTAGAGTCAGGCATCTTCTGTTTCTCGCATGGAAAAAGGCGTCAGGCTCCCAGCACAGCTTGAACAATGGGTGAGCGCCGCGGTACTCCGTTAATCCAATCAGATCTCCAGTCTAAACCAGTTAGGCGCGGAAGCTCGGTATCCACGCGACATTGCAACCCTCGGAGCCTGCTGTGCGTCTTCACGAATTGCAGTCGCCTCTGGAAACGGGGGATGTGTGTATACAGATTTGCGTTAGTTACTCCGTATACTCGGGAACTATGGGATTTCAATCAACCCTCTATCCGGCCTCATAGTGTGCCCCCTCTGCACTCGGGACACTGCAGCGCGGGGCCCTAGGAATCCCATAGTTCCCTCGAACGGAGTAAGGTTAGATGCGGGGCCGCGAGAACTACGCGATTTAGTGAGCCGAGGGCCCCAGGCTGTAGGCTTCCTGAGCGCAGCAAAGGCGCTACTACCAGAGCCCCGAGCCCCACTAAATCGCGTAGTTCCCAAGGCAACGCATCTAACCATCTTAGAGTAAGTACAGCAACGCAGCACACTTGAACGCACGCTGCATTAGGGATGGACGGCTTACCAGGCTATTTGCAGCGGCCAGCAGCCAGTTCGAGCAGGCGTACAACAACGACTATATATACCAGCAAGGCCCGTACCAGCAGTAGAGAGTATTTGTTCTAGGCGGCGAGGCTCGCTAACGCGAAAGTAGGCGAGGCCGCTGGGCGCTTTTCGCACTGCTAGCCGTGCGCGTCTGGCTCCAGTTGTAGCTAGGGCCGTGTAGTCATGCACCGCTTCCTACTGGAAGACCGAGTACCTGGGTTTTCGTGAGAAAGAACCACTCCAGAAGCTCCGTTTGCCTACCGCACGCACAGCGTCTCTCGAATGGAAGGCGGTCGGTCATGGCCAATACGCGTAAGAAAAGCGCCGCAGGGCAGCGAAATAGTTACCGCGGAAGAGGTGACCTACTGCTCGTCATGATTTAGACGGCCCGAGGGGCCCTGAGCTGTAGCTGTCTGAGCGCAGCGAAGACGTTGCTAAGGGCTCCGAGGCCGTCTAAATCGTGTATTTCCATTGACGCGCAGATAACCTCTATGTTCTCTGCAGAAAGACGTATCAATTGAGTATTGTAGGGGCGGAGGTTCATTTACAGTCACGTATACGCCAAAGGCATTGTTCCCTGGCAGTAAATTCACCTGTCTTAGATGAGCGGGATCGATGAGGGGAGGGAGGTAAAGTCAAACCACCGTCGGCGGCGGCGTAGGACGCACAGTAAGTTCTCCTTATCGTGGCCGCGAGAGCGTGTTGTCGGAGTCTGCTGGAGTTGAGAACCTCCACGATTCTTTCCCAGGACAACGATTCATCATGCGCCAGTAAGGCCTCCAGATACTCAGTGATACATCGGAGGGCGTCTTTCGGATGACTGGCATCGACGTTGCTGAGAGTGGCGGAAGGAACTCCGAGCTCCACGCACAGGTAGCGGACCTTCTCCTGGGAGAGAGTGTCTAGGGCACGAGACAACTCGGCTAGCTGTGGACGTGGCTCCGCCATATAGCGAGCGTCTTGTTGTACCACGCCCACGAAGGTTATGTTTGGGTGTGGCCGGCTTGCTTAACGCGCATGCGTGCAACCGTTACCCCTTACCAGCTCTACACCCATCACCACTCCCCCACCTAATAATATAGCAGAATGCTGAGCATATTCACATTGTTTATCGTTATCCGCGTTCGTTAATGACAATATTGATGCAAAAGATGAGAATGATAATCGGGGATGGGAGTTGAGAAGTGTCAGTGAGGAGTGGTGGAGGAAGAGGAGGAGGGAGAGGAGGAGACGTGAAACTGCTGCCAGTAGAGAGGAGAGTTCTTGTGGACTAGGGTCCACACGTAGGGCACAAAGAATTCCTCCGGCTGAGCTTCTTCCACGTAGCGGAACTTTAGCTCTGGAAATACCTGCAGTGTAAGCAAAAAAGAATGGTGGTGATGTCACAGCCTAACTCAAATTCTAGTCAATGTATAAGGAATAATCAGCAAGTGAGAAAGCAGCTCTTGTTCGCCATTTCAGCTGCCACATATTTGATTAAGCTACAACATCAGCAATGGAAAGCAGTACTGGAGTTGGAGGTTTATACTTCGAAAGCCACCACATCAGCTATATAATATTATAGTTTGGTGTTTGATTGGAATTGTGCCAACACTAAACTATACAGTAGGTAGTCATGTGAAAAGTGGGTGACACGACAGAGAAAAGAAAGGTGTGAGAGTTGTGGTAGTGTTCATACCCGTAGTCTGTGGTGAGGCCAGGTGGCAGAGCATCTGATGATGGTCTCCAGGACAAATGGAGAGGAATAGGGAGATGGCCCACTCTCTTCCAACTTCTTTGAGAAAAACTCCACCACCTACACACATATGGGGTATGCACCATCAGTGTACCACAGAGTTTACACTACTGCAATCTTATTGTAGTGTAATAAGTGTTGGAATTACACAGAGTAGTTTTTGTGTAACTACAAATAAAGTAGCGTAGTTTATTTCTGACTGGTACTGTATATACAACATCTGGGTGAATTTGAAGTCACATATAGCTACAGTAGAACCTCTGATAAAGGACCCTCTGAGATAGAGACGACCTCTCTACAAAGGACACTTGCCCATGCTAATACACTTTAGTGTATTATTCGACCTCCGACATAGGGACCTCTCTACAAGGGACAAAATCGTTGGCCCCACAGTGTCCCTTGTTCAGAAGTTCCAGTGTATGCGTATAACACTAGAGTGAATATATTGGGAACCGGAATAGTTTCTAAAGGAAGGAGAGGGAGAGAAGTAAGCTCACACTGAGGATGTTCCTGACGAGGTCCATGAGGGGAGGGGAGGTGTGTAGCGGAGAGAACACCTCTCTCTGGTAGAGGAGGCAGTAGACCAGGTGGGGGTTGGTTGCCAGACGATGGGACAGACACGAGTTGACAATCTCTAGTATCATCACCAGAATCTCCTCCACTACCCCCACCTCTGTACTCTGGAGATATGTAATAGATGACTAGAGGTATGTACAATCTACACTTGCCTTGTTTATAATTACTGTTGAACCCCTGAATAATGAACATGTTGGGACCTGGCATTGCGTCAAATAATGGGAAAAGTGATGCTTGCCACCTGAAAGTGTGTCCTATATTATTGAGTGTGTTTCTACTGTCAGAGTGTCCTCATCGGAGGTGCTACTGTAGTTAATGTCTCTGCATTATTATTGTGTTGTACAATTCACTCACAAAATCTGCACTCTCTCTGAACACAGCCTCAGAGTCTGGGGATAGGGGTGTGGCTGAAGTGGGCGTGGTTGTGGGTGTGGTCTTCTGTGTCATCCTGTGGTACTTTTTAGCCAGTTGCTTGAACAATCTGCAAAAACAAAACTTTACCTTCATTTCATCTCATTCGGCCCAACTACGCACAACTTACTGCATGCCTCAACAACATGGTAACGAGGTACTAGAAAGGCAAGGCAAGGCAAACAAGTCAACTACACCCAGGACAGCTCTTTCTTTTCAAAGAAAAGAAGGAGAGCTGCCCTGGGTGGGATTCGAACCCACGACACTCTGCAGTCTAGGCGAGCGCTCTACCAAATGAGCTACCAGGGCATGTAACACTTTCAGGCTGCTACATTAGTTCAGTCCATAAAAGCATAAATGCTCAGTTTATAGAAATGTCGGGACGTTACATGTACTGACACACATACTATGTCTATTGTTAAACATTACAGCATTCCAACAGCAGCCAAATCAGTTAAACGGAATGTGTAGCATGGGGTAAATTAGAAATGTTAAAAACGGAAGCCTAAATGCATCCTTGCACTTACCTATTGTTTAGTTCAATCTCAATCAATCTTACGTAACATTTCTAAGTTTAACCCTTATTCACTGCCACATTCCCATTAAACCAATTTCTCTTACGTGACAATCTTCTGGGCGGCATCGAGATGAAGGGAGTTGAAGTGGGAAGACATGTTAGCCAGTGCAGCAAGACAGTTGGTGTGGAGATACTTGTCCTGTAGAGAGAGAGAGAGGGAAGAATATTGAAACACATTGCTAGTGTACATACTGTACATGTACTATGTATATACCTGAATGTGGGATATGTTGGCCTGGATAGTTCTGACCAGGACTATTACCATCAGACTACCAACTGATATGTTGGTCAGTGATCTCTCGGAGTACCACTCCACCTTCTGGAGATGCTGGGGGGAGGAAATGGGGGAGGAAATGAGGGAGGAAATGGGGAGGAAATGGGGGAGGAAACGGGGAATACAGTGGAACCTTCAATAAGGGACCCTCTGAGATAGGACTACAAAGGACCTACAGGTGTATTATTTAACCTCCAAGATGAGGACGGCCTCTCTACAAAGGACACCTATTTCAATCCCATGCTAATACACTTTAGTGTATTATTTGACTTCAGAGATAGGGACAACCTCTCTACAAGGGACAAAATCATTGGCCCCATAGTGTCCCTTGATCGGAGGTTCCACTGCAAATGTACCAGTTCATGTATGGACTTGTTGAAGCAGTCGTCCTGAGAGAAGATGAGGAGAACAATGAGTAGCATGTAGACATGATGGGCACTGGAGGGCTGCTGACTGGAGCCATGGAGATGATGGAGGAGAGGAACCACCTGATATAGGGGGAGGAGGGGGCCAAGAACAAAGTCTGAGCATGCAGCTAGAGTAAACACAATCGGGGAGTGAGAAAACTAGGAATTGAAGGGAATGTGGCAGTAAGGGCTAAATTTCGAAACTAAAATGCAGAAACTTAATTGCATTCATGCACTGGGCCACCATTGCTATCTTTAGTAGCATTTCTAAATTTAGTCCTGACACATTACATAACATTTAAAGTGTGACATGCTCTAACATGATGTTCACACATGAGCTTCGTCAACTTTGTAAGACTATAGTACATTTCTTGCCAGTGTAAGGAGATAGAGGCAAGAGATTAGACAGACAAAAAGACAGTACTACATACGTAGCTGAAGACTCCAATAGTTATAAAGTTAAGAATGGAGGTCTCACGAGAAGGTCAATGTCAGACCGAGAGAAGATGAAAGATGCGACGTGGGGATTTCCCTGTAGCAGGAGATAGAGGAGGAGAGTCGTCTGCTCCGACAGGTTACTGGAGGAGGGAGGAAGGGAGGAAGGGAGGGAATGGAGTGATGGAGGGAGAAGAAAATAGACTATTACACGAATGCAGAGCATTTGTGCGGCGTGGAAAATGTAGCCGCAGACACACTACTGCACATGCAAGAAATGAGTAATCCAAATGAAGGCGCAGTTAGAAGATGTACCGAAGTAGAAAATTGTGCCTGTTTGGACCACTACTAGTGGAGTGAGGGAGGGAGAAGAAAGAGAGGTTGGACAGAAAGGAAAAAGGAAGACAGGGGGGAGGGGAAGATGGATACAGAGGCTAGTAGTCATCACAAATGGCAATTATCAGAAAACGGAAAAAACACACAAGTAACCATTTCACTGACTTGCAGAGAGAGAGGTAGAGTTTCTGGAGGTTGAGAGAGAATGGGGCTCTGGTCTTCCTGCCGCTGTGTTCGTCGGTGAACTGTAGCAGGGCCCGACGGTACTGATTGTGGCCACTCATCTGCTGGTGGGTGAGCACTAATAGGAGTAGCACGGCCCCGTCGGCCAGTGGGGAGGGAGGCTGGGTGGCTGCAGCTGTTGATGACATCATCGACCAAATACCAGCTGTAGAAATGAGTATAACGACATTTGTAATATACACACATGCACACGCAACAAAAAAGTTAACACATTAAGACTTAAGTACAGGCAGCAAGTTAATTCAGAATTGCAAACAAGTGAAGATTACACAACATCATAAACTTAATGTGATGCACACAGATTGAATCATGAGCACATGAGGTAAAGTGTAGTATTTTTAACCATAGCTACACTCTAAAAGCACATTGCTGAACATTTCAAGTGTATGTCAGATGTTAGGTTAGAACTCAAACAGCATTGGATGCAAAAGGTCGTTCTAACACCTTCAAGATCTTCGTACTAGTTTCCTCTACTGTTGTAGGTGGTTCTCACTGGTAATGGAGGAGATGACACTGGATGGAGAGTGAAGGTGGGAGGGGGGAGGAGAGGGCTGGCTGGAAAAATGGAGGACAAGACGATGGACCAAACTGTTGCATTGGTCACTGGAGGGAGGGAGAGGGAGGGAGAGAGGGGGAGAAGTTAAAAGGAGGAGAGAGAGGAGCGAGAGAGCGAGAGGAGGAGAGGGCAGGAGAGGAAAGAGTTTACTCGAGTCTGCTGGGGCCAGCGCTTCAGTTTACACAGCGCCTTCTTCAGCCTCACCAGCTGAGCGGTCAGCTGCGTGCTACATACAAGCCTTCGCACACGCCGCTGTTGGGAGGCATACATAGAATGGACAACATGAGGCAAAGTAAAGAGGATGAAATCTGAAAGGAGCAAAGAAGAAGAGTATGCCTGGTTCAATTGTGGGTGGAGGGGGAGGTGGGGTGGAGGAACTCCCACAACCAAAATCTGTATACCACTTGCTATACTGAAACAATGACATGCTGTAATGCCCGTACGTAGGTACGGAGAGAATGTGTTGTAGGAGAATCCCGGAGCCGGAGGAGAAGCCATACATCTGGGAGGAGAGGAAGACGAGAAGTAGAGACATTGCTTCCTCATGGACGGAGTAGGTCGTGGGTCTGGGGGAGTCGGGGTGTGTGTTTGTGTGCGGAAAATAAGAGGAGCGAGAAAGAGATAGACAAACTTAAGGTGTAAGTGAGGTATGAAGAGTTAAACAGTTCCTCACAATTTCTTCTTAATGTGGTTCACAGAGACATGTGCATGTATGTGCATAAAAATCTGTGAAGTGCTAATTATATTGTGGTATGGCCTTACGAAACTGGAACGTTTATGAGAAGGGATATCAGTCCTTCCACCAGTTGTCGTGACAACAGTGTATCCATGGCAACGACCTCAGCAGGGTTCAGTGAAGCCGGAGCAGTGCTGCCGGGTGGGAGTGGTTGGGTGTGTGTCTTCATCGCTGCTGCTACATCTTCTTCCCCAGTGCTCCTCTCACCTGTCGCTGGGAGGGTAACGATTTTGCATTTTTTGTTGGTACACATGAGAGACAAACCAACTATCCTCTCAATACATGGACTACAGTTGGAGTATGGAATAGTACGTAACATACTCTATCTTCCAGAACCTATTCCTATCACTCCCTATCTCACTCAGCTCCATTACCGCCATCTAATGAGGGTGTCAACGATTTAGCATTTTTTTGTAGGAACATCAGTGGAAGAAGAGACAAGGCAATCATACTTAATACTTTGACTAGTGTTGGAGTATGGAATAGTAACATACTCTTTCTCGCTGCACCAATTCCTCAATATTTATCTCGTCTCAATTTTGCTGTTTTTTTTACCAACCCCCCAATATGGGTGTCAACGATTTAGCAAATTTTGTTGGCACATGGTTTAAGGAAAGGTCAAACCAATTACACGTAGCACTTTTCGACATTTTGACATTTGTATTATTGCACGATGACCAGGTACCAGTTAAAGATTTCTGTACGTAAACGCAAAAGATTTAGTTTTCTTGCTAGCATAGGACACGGGGAAATCTTGAGACTTACTTGGTGATCTGTCCTCATTCCACGGCATGGTACCGGAACCAGGAGCAGCAGCGGCAACGAGGCTAATCAGAGGGTCCTCCCCTTGAGACGAGTCCACCGACTGGACACCCTTTCCACTGGTCTTCACCGACCATATCTACAGATACAAGGAAACGAAAATATATATAATATACACCTCCTTGACCCCCGACTACATACCGCCACTTGAGGGAACTAGGCATGCAAACAGAAGCTGAACGAAGGCTATTCAATACACGCACTGATAGCATACATACAACATGGAGAACCCAGCGAGTATATACATGTACTCTGTATAAGGGGCACCTGTTTTAAACTGGTGCTAATACATTCATATAGCACACACACAATTGCATTTTTTTTTATCCATGAGTTGAAGAAGAGACAAACAAAGTATCCATAGTACTTTGACTACAGTTGGAGTATGGAAAAGTAACATACCCTATCTCGCTGCACCTATCCCTATCAACCTTTATCTAGCCAAAATTTTCCCTGACCCCCAAAAAAGGTGGCACATGGTTTAAATAAGGGACAAACCAACTATTTTAAAAGCAACAGTTTGAGTTCAGTTGTAGTATGGAATAGTTAATCTTCATAGTCCAAGTACACAGTGGGACGTCATACAAAATTGTCCTTTATACACGAAAGTATTAGCACCGGTTTGAAAGAAGTGTCCTTCATAGAGGAGTTCCTTTATTTGGAGTGTAGCAATTTGAACTGACCTGAGGTACGGTGGTAGCCCCATCCAGTTGTACTATGACCTCTTCCTCAGAGTGTTGGAGAAGGAGTTGCTTCAGACACACTCTCACAATCAGCAGAGCATTGTGTACGTGGAGAGTGGCCAGGTGACTGGAGCGACATCGAGGGAGACGGAGAGAAATGAAAGGGGAGACAAAACAGGGGATAAAGAGAAGGTTGAGAAAGATACATAAGACACTGAACACACATGAGTCAACTACGAGGTAGAAAGAGGCAAAGGCACAGCAAACAAGTCAACTACACCCAGGACAGCTCCTCTTTGCAATGATAAAAGAAGAGTTGCCCTGGGTGGGATTCAAACCCATGACACTCTCCAGTCTAGGTGAGCGCTCTACCAACTGAGCTACCAGGGCAACTCAGCTGGTATGGATACATACACACATTCAAATTGAATGCAACACTCTAACTGGTTGCAATGTATATATAGCTTAAAGTTGCTCATCGTTTTGTTAAATTCTCTAAGCCATTAACTCCCTCCTCCTCCCTCACCTCTCATAGGAGGCCGGCTCTCCGAGAGAAGTCATCATATCCAGCAGTAACCTGACTAGTGACCTCAGGTGACCTGTTCTGCCATTACGTCTCAGTAAAGCCTCTATCAGAGGAGACACTGCTTCATCCAGTAGTCGGGCCTCGAGCCTGTCAACAGCATATACACAAACATTACACTAGAACACTACATTATTGTACATACATCACTGCAGGATATTCCACTTCTGTAGGGGTAGTACCAGCTATACAGATGACAAATTCAAAGGCTTGCAAAGCAGGCAGTTGAGAAGCAAAAAACATTCTTGCAGTTTCCCAAAATTCGTGGGTAAGGCTCTACATAGCAAAAGGCAACATGGGGGAAATCCGTTGTGGTGCGCATTAATAAGAGTTACATCTACTTTTGTAGTGCGAAAAGGCATTGTCTGCACGTGCACTACACACACGAAACCAGTCCGACGAAATCCTGGGGAGAGGAGAAAGAAACTCACTGGCTGGCGGGGTGGGCGGCCGTGAAAGTGAGAAGCTCCTTCCAGAAGCCGTCTCCCTCGGCCACCTTTTCCGAGCCGACGAACCGTAGCAGTAGAGGGTTCTCCTTTATCTTGGCCAAACTCGTGGACACGGTCACTCCCATGGCTCCCTCAGAGACTAGACGCGGACAACACCGCGAAAAGAGCTCGAACAGTACAGGTGACCACGGTTCAGATTACGTCATAACAAAGCTATTCTGCGCATGCGCTTGAAAGGCCAGCGCAAATTCAACTTCCAGTGTTTTTCAGTGCCTGTTAGTTAGAATGTAGAGGCAGAATTATTCCGTACATTTCGCTGTACTAGTTTACAATGTGACATTTGTCTATCTTACGTACAGATTCCAAGTCACTTCAGAGATGATTTTCCAACTCTTAAAATTACACACATCATTGAAGGGTACATGAAAAATATGACTTTCAAAATGGGTATAATTATACATACATGTAGTAGACCTACAAAAGTATTGCTGCTGTATAATAATATGTATATACTCAGGTGGTAGCCATAGCAACAGGTTCATAGGCTACACACCCAGAGCAGGGCAATGGAAATACACACAAAATAGCTCATGTGACGGTCATGTGACCATTCTACACAGCACACCAAAACATGGAGAAGATACAGGTATATAATATACATACGTAACCATCTAATTGTAACATGGCAACAGCAACTGAGTCTTATATGGTAATAATTGCAGGGGTGAAATATCGTGGTGTTATGAATAAGAGTGAATATCGATGGGGTTCGGTGCTCCCATTTGTGTGAGGACCTTGTCGAGCCACTGAAGTGGACCGTTCAGATGAACTTCGACCCAGCACGGAGTCGATGTGACCATCTGTCTCCTGTACTCAACTCCCCAGCCCTTCACGAAGCTGATACGGATCGTGCACATACGAGTGAGTTTAAAAACCTCCTCGAAGCCCTGATGCACCGACTGCGCGAGTTGCTGCGCGAAAAACTGGTTGTTGAAGACGCACATTACGCAGCCCGGCGGGATCTTGCACACCGTAGCCGGATGCCAGTGGTATCTGAGGTTTGAGTTCATGCTCTGAACGAAAATACTGCTCTCCGAGAGACACTCGGCGTAGACCTCGCCACCGACGTAGAGAAGACGGACGCCGCGTCCGATGTGACGTCGCGTCTGTTCAATGACGCTGTCTCGGTGTATGTTGGAGAGGAGTCCGAGACAAAAGCGATCGGCGGAGCTGGGGTCAGTGAACCCGTCCATCGTGAGGCTGGGTTTAGAGGCGTTGAACACCTCTCCGACTCTGTTCTTCATCTCGTAGTAGTTGACTGAGCACCAGTAGGCCGGTTCGCAGTAGGTGACGGGCTGGTAGTCAGGGGGCGTGGTTTGGTCTGTAGACGAGGGAGGGTAGAAAAAGAAGAAAAATAATCTCTGCAAAAAACGAAGGATATGTGAAGTGAAAGAGGTAGGGTCAGTGGACGTAATGTACTGCAGAAAACTGCAAGACTTCACATGCACGCGACTGAAGAGGACAGAAAATTTAGCTTCTAGCGGTGTTTGAAAAAGGATAAACAAAATCCTGAGAAACTTTGGTGAGCTAAAAATTATATAATCACTGTTGGGAACGTAGTTTGTTAACACAGCGTGCTATGTATGTTTTGTTCTCCATATATACCAAGTTGATGATGTGGTGGAACAGAGCCTGGTCCATATGATGAGGTGGGGGAGATTGGAGAGCCAACTATAGACAGTGATAGAGATGTGTGTGTGTGTTTGTTTGTATCAGTTAAACACACATAAACATGATGCACACACACATTCCATGCCCCCTTCCTCGTACGTTGAATAGTGTGAATGAGATATTGTGGCAAGCAATCACAAGCAAGCCAATAACAGAGTGTAGGGATGAAGGGTGGGTAAGGGAGAGGAGGAGAGAGAGGGAGGGTGAATTGGGGTAAAGGGGGAGAGGAGAAGGGAGGGAGAAAGGGGTAAGGGGGAGAGGAGGAGGGAGAGGGAAAGGGGTAAGGGGGAGAGGAGGAGGGAGAGGGAAAGGGGTAAGGGGGAGAGGAGGAGGGAGAGATAGGAATGAGACACAGTGGACCACAACAGAGTGGGCCAGGCCATCAGGTTACAGTCAGGCATGCCAGGAAACGGGCGGGCAACCAACAACACATGGTGCTATGGGTATGTACAGTATAATACATATGGGGGCTCAGTCTTGCGTGTAGTTGTGACATGTGGACATTTGGCCACAACAAGTATACACACATATTACGGCAGTGGAACTACAGGCAAAATAATATGTACACAGCACACTTTGTCGTTGGAGACAAAATAATCTATTGTTTTTTGTGGTGAATTTGGCGATTTCAAACTGCCAATTGTTCCAAAATATAATAAGCTTGCGTAATACGTAGCTAATGTTTAGGCTACCAGCTGAGTGCCTGGACTTGTACATGTAAGGTCCCCAGTTCAAATGCCACGACTGTAACTTTTTGCTTGCGTATGTTGGACAAAATCTACATGTATTTGCTGCATAGTATTGACACATTATTGATGCATTGCTTGGCCCCTAACAGTGAAACTGCAGAACTAGTAAATGCATGTAGTTGTTGCGTAATAGACACATGTTTGTGGCGCTGAGAGTGAGATGGTGCCCCAACAGTTGTGTGTGTGACTGACTGGAGGAGGAGAGGGTTCCAAGAGGACTGTCGACAGTTCCGTTGCTAGAGAGATCATCTGACGGCTGGTAGGCCGGTGGTGGGGTCTCTGCTGGAGTTATGGGGAGAGGAGGGCGGGGGAGAGAAGAGAAGAGAAAGGAGGAAAAAGGAGCGATGGAAGTCAGTAGATGAGAGACAAAAATATTGTTCAAGGACCAATTCAGTTAGTGTGAACAGGGACATATATACACCGGACGGCATGCAGTTCGAGGCAAACGGAACTAAATATAAATACACAAAACCAGAGGGAAAAGAGAGAATATTAGAGTTAATGATGCATCGAAAAGGAAACACGTTATGTCAGAAAGTCAGTAAATAGAGAAAAAAGAGACCAATGGCCATATATAGAGGTCAACACACGGAACAGGGAGAGAGCAATGACAGCAGACTGACAGTAGTGGTAAGTCAGTGGTGGAGAAGGAGGAGTAACCTGAGAAGATGTGGGGAGGAGGGGGGTCAGTGGCAGGCAGGATGACGTTGTCGGGGAGAGTGGTGTCCTCCGAGAGAGGGGGCAGTGGAATTCCCTCGTGGTGGATGTTGGTGGGAACAAACACCGGAGGCAACACTGGGGGAGAGGGGTGTGTGTGTGGAGGGGGGAGGGGAGAAACACAGTCCATTCAGAAATACTACTACTGGTGAAAAGGTCACACTCATGTTCTCTTGCTATATATTTGTGTTGCATCGCAGAATAAACACGAGTGTGAATATTTCAATGACACAGAAATGCAGCACTGTTTAGAATATAAACAAAAATGGCTCAATCCAGTCAGGAAGTGGGCTCACTTCCACCTCCAAACTAGAGCAATATCGTTTGTTTCACTGAGGATTGATTGAAATGTACCCACTACCGACCGTGCCATTGATTTTCCCATTATCCACACATCAACCACCGTCAATGTATACAGTTACCGTAACACACACCCATCAACAGACACGCCACTTTCACACACAGTTTTCCAGATGAGTGAGTAAACTGGTGTGACTTTCAACCCTGTTCATGCGATACACACACACAACACGCTACGTGGTAAAAATTTTTTGGGGGAACCGCACTATACATAATACGACCAGGACTTGCTGCGGCCTCCAGGGAATTCATTATGTAATGACTCGCAATTTCACAAGAATGTCAGTGTTGTAGCTTTATTTCTTATAGGGAATTCATTATGTACTCGCAATATCGACAATAACATCACAGTGTTCAGTTTGTTATCTGTAGTAGTTCTTTTTCTTGTATTGCGACAGTAACTTGTAGGAATTGACATGCTAAGCTTGTTCACTCCTTCTGTGGCTCATACAATCTACCACATGAGCATACTTGTCTACCTTCTTCCCAGTCAACAATGACTGTGTCTTTTAGTAATTAATTTACCACATGAACACGCATATTTACTACTAATTTATTCCCCATAAGACTAGACTCCAGTAGATAGTATGGTTGCAGTTTCTCTCACAATACAATACATGTCTCAACAACTTTGTTGCGAGGTAGAATGGCAATGCAAGGCAAACAAGTCAACTATACACCCAACGACAGCTCTTCTTAGAAGAAGAGCTGTCCTGGGTGGGATTCATGTACATGAAAAGTATATTTATAGCATACTAGCCAATAGAAAAGAAAGAAAAACCTAAGTCACCCTCCCACCCCCCATCCTTCATCCAAGTACATACACAGACACAAACAACAGAGTCACATGTCTTTTTTGATTCAAAAATCAGGAGAACCTCTGCTGATGTACACTCGAAATAGAGGACACGATAGAGGGAAAGCTGAATGACACACTTTAACCCTTTGGACGCCGTGTATATATGCCCATGGCTAGGTAAGGGTTAAATGACAAAACATTCATTCACTTCTCTATTATTCCAGTACACTGTATTCTGTTATGCCAGGGAACGATTACTATATGTGGAGATGCAGTGGGGTTGAGACAGTGTATGAATGCAATCAGGAGGTGGTTTGGCAGAGAGAGAGGAAGACCCAGTCTGAGGACCACCACACACCAGACGAGATGTGTCTGCTCCAATTGTTCCCAACACCACAGCTTCATTACTGGCCGCCATTGTCTCCCGCCTCTCGAAACTTCTCATTGCATGTTACACAAGTACAACAATGAGGTGTGAGATACATACTAGAGCCTACACATGTCACTACCATGTGACGACCATGTTGCGCATAAACACCTAGACTCATGTACATGTACATACCATTATATTAGGATGCATAGAAGAAGGGTTCAGGGGGAGAGAGGGGTTAGAGAATGATCAGGTGACTGTGTTCCTGGAGCACCATATTTTGAAGGACTCCAGGAGTGTAGTTCGAATTACGATGTGGCAGAGGGTTTCGATATCCTTACAAGGACAGCTGATTGCTGCTGCAAGGGGCTCGAGGTCGGAGAAGCCCAGCATTCCCCGAGAACCCACCTCAACTGTAATCTCTCCCTCTCTCCCTATCTCCCTTTCTCTCTCCTCTCTCCCTCTCCCTCTCTCTCTCCTAGCTCTCTCTTGTGTGAGTGTGAGATCCTCTTCATTGCATGACACACATACAACAACTACGTACGTACATGCAATGAGGCGTGAGATAAAAAATTTTAAAAACCAGGTAGAGTTCTTTCCACATGGCCATGCA